GATCCCAAAAGCCATTGGCTGGGAGGGCTTTGATGACCCCCTTTCTGTGCACCGACTCTCGAGCTACCCCTACAGTCCAGACTGTGCTGCTGTAGACTTCAATCTCCCAGTAATGGCATCCGTGTGTGAAGCCTTGGCTTCCGAGCAGCGACAGGGCAGCGTTGAACCTGTAGGGGTTGTCCTCCACAGTGTGGTTAAAGGTCTGGTAGCGAACACAGGTGAGGGAGGAGGTTAGGCTGAGCCAAGGGTTGGCTGTGCTGGAGTTAAATGTGATGGCTGCAGGAACTAAAAACAAAGAATTTAGGATCACAAAAGATTTCAATTATTGTTTGAAAATATATGTTAATGCTTAGATGTAGTCAACCTTTCTAAATGGAGATCAGGCTAGACTCTCATTTTTAGTACCTGGGTATATACTTCCTTTCATGGATTTCCAAACTCTGTACTGCAGGGGTCCTGCAAACCGACCTTCACACAGACTAGGTGGTGTAAATGCAGGTTTCTCAAACTTCAGCGATGGCCTGCCAACAAAAGCAAAGTCAGACCAGCAAAGAGAGAGTAAAAACAAAACTTACCCCTCACAAAATATAACATTGGCTGTTATCACACTCACCTCTGGAGCAGGACTTTGATGCTCTGAAATGAGATGGGAATAAACAGGAAAAGAGAGGCAGAGGCTGGGAATTAGATTTGTTGTATCTGAAAGAAGAGAAAGCTTTTTCCACATTACATCAATGTCTGAGCTCATGCTATCCCACCCTGTGGGATCTCCCTATGGCTGGGGGAAAGTCCCACAGCCATGGCCAGAGTATGGCCTCGTGCCTGAAGTAAACTCCTTAACCCTCAGATCAAAACATGAGATCATTGGTCTGCATCCTGTCTGTACTCACTGTGAGCAAAAGTCTTTTGCTATCAGAATAGAAGCAATACTCAAGAGTTTCCTTTTGAAATACATGCAAACGGACCTGATTAATGTGTTTGTTTTACTGTAAAAATGGTGTACAACCATAAATAGAAAAGATAAACTGGTTACACCCTGCTCATTTAAATCATAAATGTTGATGGTGGAGTGCAGCTAGTTAACATTTTGGCATAGAAATACTTCTTTCCTGCTCCTGAATGTGAGATAGTTGTGGAAACAAAAAAAAAGGTTTGAAATCAAGAGCTCAGCATTTCTCCCCTTAATCATCCCCAGGCCTGACTCATCACACTGTTAATACCAACCATATGGAGTGTATTTATCATGTATGAAGTTCTCGTAAGCTGAACATACGCGGAGCAGAGTGAATGGGTCCTGTTCTTTCAGCTTGTCCTCTATCTCGTGGACAGCTCTCTGCAGACGGGAGATCTCCACACACAGCAGGGCCTTGTGCTCATCCAGACGGATCAGCTCTCTCCTTTCCTCTGTCTTGAGCTTCACCTGCAGCAGCTTCTCCTCCTGGTACAGAAACTGGTGCAGGTCGCTGAACTGGGCCTCAATGCGCTGCTTCAGGTCGGCAGTGTGCTCCTAAGGGAGTGGAATGTGATGGACACTGTCAGCCACCTTTACATATATCAAGGATAACAGCGAAAGTATGAAATCTATGCTCCATGTAAGACATCTTTGCCTTTTATATAGCTTTGCATGTAATGATGTTCTTCCATTTTGAATATTATTTACTATCAAACGTCCTCCTTCAGTTCAATCTGAAATCAGCGCGTGTACCATACTTTCTTTGTAGATTTGCTTTTCATTCATTTCTCGTTCAGGTTTTAGACATTAAATGACTCCAACTGAACATTTATGGTGGTGCAGGAAATGTGGTTCTGATTGCAGGGTGTGCATATACTGTATATATCCTAGAATCTTGTTTTGGAAATGTGTTGTCTCACCTTGAGCTTTTTAACCTCATCTTCAGCTTCCCTGTCACACTGCAGAGCTGTGTTGAGCTCAGCTTTGAGAGCATCCATGGAGCTGTTCAGAGACACCTGACAGGACAGAGACACAACATCACTGCATGCTCAGTAATTCAGATGTCTATTTATAGAAACCAATGGTACGGCCAGCAGACACTGATTTGCTCTAAAATTTAATGTTCAAAAAGATGCACCAGGGTCATTTATGAAACAGCTTTTACACTGTAACGTTTTGCCTGAATTGTCACTTGTGTCATTTACAGTGTAGATAAGATGAAGCAAAGCATAAGTTATTATTACAGACAAGCCTACTGACTGAGAGAGAACATACAAAGACCATAATTAATAAGATCCACCAGTTTGCAAACTGTGAGATATTCTAATGTATAAAATTATGAATACAGATGTCATTAAATCTGCAGTTACCATTAGTCTCAGAAAATGTCCTCACTAGATACATTTTAACATCTCAGTATTCTGCTGAAACAGAAATATAATTCAACCTTAACTCACCCTGTACTTCTGTTCAGCGTCCTGCACACATATCATGGTGTGGTTTCTGTGCTCCTGGGAGATACCACACACCAGACACACCAGCTCTTGGTCCTCTTCACAGTAAAGCTTCAGCTCCTCTCTGTGTCTGCTGCAGCAGGGGACTGGGGCAGGGACCATCTCTGGCACCCCACCGTCTGCCAGACAGGCTCCCCTGCCACTATCCTCCAGACCATGACAGTAGCTCTCCACTATGTTGGCAACAATGCGGTTTGGTCTGAAGCTTTGTCCAGGGTACACCTTCCTGCACTGAGGGCAGGAACCTGTGCCTCCTTGCCCAGAGCCCCGGGGACCAGTCCAATAGCCCTTGATGCACCCCTGGCAGAAAGTGTGATCACAGGGCAAGGAGACTGGCTGTTTGAAAAGATCCAAGCAGATGGAACAAGTCAGGTCTCTGCTGATTCTGTGAGCAGAGCTCTTTGTTACTTGTCCAGCTATAGGAGATTGTCGCAGCTTTTCCATTGCAGTTTGCACAGCAAATTCTCCTTCCTTTGGTTTCCAACTTTTCATGTCTGGCCTAATCCCCTGATTTAGTTTTTCCAAGTTCTGCAAATAA